TCTTCTTCATCAGATAAAATTAAGTCTTCAGCTTCTTGATCAGCTATCTCTTCACCCTCACTCTCCTCCTCTTCAATCGTTAGTAAAGATTCCCTAGGTTTAAGTGGTTTTATATAGCACTCATGTACTTTTATTTGTAAAGATGTAACAGTCTTACTAATAAATATTCCTTCAATTATTAGTGCCATTTTAACATTACAATACTGATTAATATATTTGAAAGGATTTAAACTCTTATTTCCTTTTGTTTTAAATAGTGAAAGAATTTTCTTTGATTTTTCAGAGTAAATAAGTTTTGCATAAAAAACTGGAGCTGATGATTCATCAACTTTTGTTTTCTTTTTTCCTTTCTTGTCTGTGTATTCTATTTGTTTATAGTAAAATGGTGAAGATATAGATGATTCTAGATCCGTTCCATATTCATTCTCTAAATGTTGCTGAGATAGAGTTGTTACATTATTAATAACATTAAAAAATGCTCTTTCTTGAGTATTCGGCTCACTATCTTTAGACCAAAGACATACTGGTATTGAGTAACCTACTAACTTTTTGGTATCTTGGTTTTTCTTTTCATTTACTCCAAAACTAAAAAGAACTGGAGTTTCGATTACGAGTGGTCCTTGTTTGTCATTTGGATACTTGATTTTAATTGGAATACGTTTGTATTTAATCTTACTATCTTTGACTTTGTACTCTTTGGCTTCATTAAAGATAATATTTTCTTGGGTAATATTTTCGTAAGCTGTTAACTGCATTTTATATTATATCTAGATAATCTTTAAACCACTTTTTAAATATCCTTCTGAATGACAATTTTTAATAGTTTCTACATTTAAATTTATTTCTTTATATTTCTTAAACCATTCTTCATCAAATCTAAGAGGAAGTGGTAAATAAATAGAAACATAATCACCACCATCTTCAACAATCTTACCATCATCTAATAATATACCATGCATAAAAATTAACCTTAAATTATCTTTTTTTTTATAAGCTTCAACTCCATCAGCATCAATACTAATTTTATCAAGATAAAATCCTGATTTTATTTTTTCATCTATATTAGATAAAATAACATTCTCCATTTTATATTAT